TCATTATGCCATTGCCAGACGCTCACTCGTAATCATGTTCAATTGAAAGCAAACACACAATTTGCTCCTTTGAACAGCTGGTGAAGGACCCAAGTCCACATCTTTATAAGCCTTCATTTCGGAGTGTTTTGTAGGGAGAGGTGCGCTTCTAGAAAACTCCAGAGTTCGAATGGACATCTTGCGAGATTCCAGCAAATAAGTATTGAAAGCACAGGTGTCAAACTTGAGGCCAGATCCGGCCCCACGCATCATGTCATGCGACTCGCTCAAGTAAATAAAGCATGACTGCATCATGTTTTGTGCTTAATTGAATTTGAAATGTTCATTTTGGAGAAAAAAAATCTGTTCCGAAATTAAATTTAAACCACTTTTTCCAAATCTCTTGTTCATATAAATTGATCAATAGTATACAAAATATTTTGTTTATTGAAAAATGTAATATCAATCAAATGCTGATGCAGTTGTCTGTATATAAAAGTAAGATAAGATAAGATAAGAAAACCTTTATTAGTCTCGCAATGGAGAAATTCCCAATTCACAGCAGCAAAGTTATGAATGGAAGAAGTAGAACAACAAAATATAGGAGCTGCTGGAAAGGCAACATTCCACATTAAAAAAAAATGATTGTAGCAGTACTTCTGGTCAATAAAGCTATGCCGTTGGCAGGCCTGCTTTTTACCCATTTAATCGCTGTCACATTTGTATGCATTTGCGGGATGAGCAGCAGAGCTGAGCATGTGGTTGCACCCAATATTTGCCAACTCTTTTTTGCCTATGCCAAACAGCCTATGATGCTGTTGAGATTTACTTTAGTTTGTTATTGTTTTAAGTTCCTTGAACATCCACCTGTGACCATAAAATGACCTTGGTCTTTTAGTTTATCCTCTGTGAGGTGACTCTCCTTTCAAATGAAGGGCAAGCAAACAATTGTTTTTCATCATTTCCATTTGTCAACTTTTTTTTTTTAAATGCAAGACCAATAAAACGTTAGAACATCACTTGAACGCAGTCTGCACAGTTAATAAAGATGCTTATATTTGAATTACAGTGTTTACAATAACAAAGTGTTGTCTTCGTCTTTAAAACAGCTTACATATAGTATTACTTAGCCCTTAAGCCTTCCAAACAGAGCTTTTTCCCGAATGAGCCTCAGAGTGCTGTGTTCAGGGGCTGTCGTACAAAGAAGTGTCGCTCACCTCATTACCTTTGACTCACTGTCACAGTGTATTTCGGTTGTTTATAGCAGCCCACTGTGTGAAGCACTCACTTGTCTGGCTCACTTTATCTATGGACTGACTTTCTTTGTCTTAACATCCCCAAGGCCTTCGTTCTTCTTCTTCCTCTTCTTTTTCTCTTTCTGTCACTTTGTCTGGCTCATTTCCGTCATCGCTTTGTGCGCTGTTGTCTCCTCTGGCTTGTTCTCCGCCCTACAATCCCGGGAGTGAATCTATGTGCATGTCGTCTTGTGGGTTGAATTCTTCACAGGTTTTCCACCTCCAGGCCATCGGAAAGAAGAGCAAATATATGTAGTGTAAAAACTAATACACAAGCACACAGGCATGTATGTGTACCTTCTAGGTTGAAAACAATTGCTGTTCTATTAATCATTAACTTGTGTAAAAATTGTGTATTAAAAAAAAAGCTGATGTCATGTTAAATGTTAACATTTCAAATAGTACTTTTGATAGCATGTGACAACAGTCATTGGTTAGCGGCTAACTCAGGCAAGCAGCATCCAATGTTGACAGTCGACATTTAAGGTTTTTGTGTGGCATTTAAGGTACATTTTTAAGATTATAACATTTAGATTAGTTTTGGTCAGCATTCGAATTTTGCCCTTTAGAATCGAAACAGTCCACAACAAGCTACCTAGTGGCTCGTGGTACAAGCACGTAACGGTAGACTTTGTGACTTTGAGGCATTTTTCTGTCGTTGATAATTTTCATGTTTATTTGGTCAACCTATGATTTGTTCACATTTACAGACAGTTTACCCATTAGACTTTTTTTTTCAAAATAAATTTTCAAATTGGCGTTTAGCAAGGTATCGGCTAGCTCAAGCTCACAGCTTTGAAAGGGGATAAAGACAAATATAAAGACACTCATTCACACCATTATCAAACATCAAGATTTCTGATTTCAGTGGCAAACTGTAAAAGTTGTAAAAATTTGCACCACAGGGACAAAATATATAAAAGATAAAAAAAAAGACATTTTCAATCTTTTTCAATTGGTCATATTTTGTCACTATGAAGTCATGTGTCAGTTTCTGTGTAGTTTTGACATTTTAGTTTTTTTAAGGAACAGTGACGAATATTCATTTGTGAATGACTATCCTGTACTCAACTCAACCTTTCTTCATTCGCAGCCAAAATGGCAATATGGTTTTCATTGCGGCAGCTGTAGCAAAGTTGTTAGTATTCTGTGAGCGCGAGCCATCTCATGGCTCCACTCACCAAGCGGAAAGACAGTCAACAGCGAGGCCGCCGCGGGTCAGTCAGGGAGCAAGCCCCTTCCTTGTTGGCCGTGTGACTGACCGACACCTTCCCTGCCGTCATATAACTCCCACCTCGGCTGCACTGCAATACTATCACACCAAGTAGATGACTGAATGTTACTTTCATGCTCTGCAGATACTCTAGACTGTGTGTTCACATCTTAATTATATCATTTTTCTTTAGCATTCACACGGTGTTATAGCAGAATTGCTTAGGGCAGGGATATTAATGTGCGCCTGGCAGCAATTGAATGTGTTATCAGTTAATTCAGCCACCTCAGCAGGATATCATCATCCACTCAATGGGTGTATTTTCATACCCATCAGAGCGTTAGAAAATCCAGATGAAATGTTAGTAGCTCAGGGCTTTACATTGAACAAAATGCACTGTAAAAAAACATGCACTCAAGAAATTTGTGAAACAGCGAAGTTGTGAAGGGTGAACTGCGTCATAGCGAGGGTTCACTGTACCCCAAAAGGTATAGAAGTAGATGATTGTGACATATCCCATGAGCCTCCTCCAGTTACAAGTACCGAAGCAATCAGACATAGAGTAGAAAAAAACATTTAGAGGGGAGGCGAGGCTCACTGTGGCAGACACGAAAAACCCTTGACATATCAGACTGGCTTTACGCTCACATTCTGGCGACTGACTTTTATCGCAATCCGCCCCCCCCCCCCTTTTTTTTTTCGACATTATTCCAGTGGCATTTAACAGATGCTTGTGGTCACTGCTACTGCAGCTTTAATGAAGCTTTCTCCATTTTTACAACACTCGCAGCACTCAACAACTTTCCGACTGACTAATCAGAATTTAGCCACAGTGCTCCCGTCTTGCTTTTTAAAGGGCTGGTAAGTTCTGAATTAGTAGAAGAGGAAATGCAGCATCTGGACAGGAAGTGGGACTTCCTGATTGGGGGGGGTATTAAGGTGGGGGTGGATGGGCCTAAATCTTAAACACAGAGGTCAAAAACTGCGGTGGGGTGGCAACATGCAAGTCGTTCGATGTTATGGCAGTCACTGTAATTTTCTTAGACAGATGTGTCCCCACCCAGCACTCCAAAAGCAATAGCAGGCCTCAACACAAGTTAGCATGGATGGATGGAAGGAGTTAGAAGCATTTTCATGCTTCCTTTTTGTATTCCAATCTTCCTCATCAGAGTAGTGAGTTGCCGGTCACTTTTGTGTGAGAGGTGGATTACACCTTGGACCGGTCGCCAGCTAATTGCAGGGCGCATACGATCAAACAACCAATTACACGTTCATTCACACCTATGGCCAATTTAGCATCTTACATTTTTTGGATTATTGAAGGAAGCTCGAGTACCTGCAGAAACCCCACCAAGTACAGATAAAACAGGGCAACTCCACACTGAGTTAATCATCATCGTTTTCAACTCAACTCAACTGTATTTATAGAGCACTTTCAAACAGCCATCACTGCATACAAAGTGCTGTACATGGAGCAACTAACATATATACAACAATAAAGCAATAAAAGGCTAAAACCAAACTAAACTGACCTCCGATAGGAAAAGGGTTCTCCACTCCTGGATTAAAGATTTACTTAATACTCTTTTCCAAAGCTATTTTGCTCCTCTGTTGGCGAGCCTGGGCCTCTGTGAAAGTGTGTAAATTACATGCGAGATCAAACAGTGTGAGTGTGCCTTACACCGAAGACTCTGATCCAGCCATTTTCACCTCACCTCCACCATAGGCCCCATTAGGCTCTCGAACGCATTGCTCGTTTTTGTCCGCAAGAGCTACCAGCGGGTAAAGAGGCAATTATGCAGCAGTGGTGGCATAATATTTCATTCCCTTCACATGGTGGACACTAACTGCTTCATGAAGAATAGGACAGCGGGCGCAGAAAATGGGGAGCTCTCAAGGGCATGGTGCTTCATTAGGAGTGTCGCTTTACTGGGAGGATGAAAGCGTTGGCGTGCGTTCTGGTTTAGGCCAGGTGGCATTGAGGAGATTCGTGACATCAATGTCATCATAAGGCAAGACCATCTTCAAATAAGACCAGAAGAATCCACCTAACTTTGGTGCAGCCATTCCTCCTTTTTTTTTTTTTTTAACACAAGCAGACTTACTGCAGTTTCTTTTGAAATCAGCCATTTATTTAATATTGTTACTTTATATCCCGCATGATAGCATGCATGGTGGTAGGTGAGATGAACTTAACATGTAACATTTAGCATTCTTCCAAAAACCCATTTGTCCAAATAAGGCCTTCCCCCACTTCCCCCATAATAGATGAAAAAAAAAAAAAATCTTTGGAATTGAAAGACCGCTATAGACAAGCTGATAGACAGTGACACGTGTTCTTTTTATAACTCAGACAGATGTTCCTGGCTTCTGCTACTGTGTGTTGGCAGATGCGAATGGTTTGCATATCAGTCTAAATGTGACCCTGTAGAAGTCCAGCAAACCAAACCGAACTAGACCAGTCAGCATAAAGTTTTATATGACAATTTTTTTTTTCTTGTCATTGTCTTTAGAAATCCGATCCAGTGGTCGTGGGTCAAAGGACGGCAGCACCAAGCAGCTTCCCCTGTATGACACTCCGTACGAGCCCACGGAGAACGGTGGAGACTCTGACCCTGAACGCTCGCGCTGCCCTCGAGAGAGTCGACTGCCTCAGGACGACGAGCGGCCGCCCGAAGAGTACGACCAGCCCTGGGAGTGGAAGAAGGAGAGAATTTCCAAAGCCTTTGCAGGTACTGTATATGTGAGCTGGGATTTATGGTTATAAAGTTGCTGACAAAGTGCCACCATGATGAATTTGACACTGGGAAAGGTCTATTAAATAAAAGGTAGACTGTAGAACGTTGACATTCTTAGCTTACCTAGGAATTCAACGTTAACGAGTCAATGTTATAACTTGCTATTAAGTGAACTGTGTCGCTGCTTTATTAAATACGTTTTACTGACATCTGATCGTTCTGTTGTCGTGTCCTTGAGCATAGCTCCATCTAGTGGATGCATTATATATTGCGTCTTATAATGCGGTGCGTCCAATGTCTGAAAAAAAAATAGGCCATTCATTAAAGGTGCGCCTCATAATCCAGTGCGCCTTTTAGTGTGGGAAAATACGGTACGTTCACGCTGCAGCCGTACTGGATATGGCAATGTGAAGGAAATTGTGAACATGCCTCCTCCTTGGAGATGTATCATCAAGCAAAAACTCATTGGATTAATGCAGAATTATTGCTTTTGATTGTATGATGTTATCCTTGCTCAGTTTTAGGATTTTATTTGCTGAATTTATGGCAAATATTAAAGCTACCTACAATATGCCGGATAGGCTGACATATCGCTGCGACCCGGTTCAACAATTGTGCCAGAGACGGACGGAGGGACCATGCCGTCCCAAGGATGGAATGGCCATCTCTGCTCCTTCGTTACAGTATAAACTCATTGATCCAAGCATCAATTGAGGACCAGTTGCAGTTGACAAAATCTTACCATGTAATCAGACAATTGTTTTTTTATGGCTATCAAAAGGGAACTGAACTGTACCACTTGGTGGAAAAGTGACAAGACTGTGGTTCTTACTATCCGAGTGAATCAAAATTGACAAGGTTGTCATTCCTTGTCATTTTTAACCAATTTCCATTTTCTCTCCTGGTTCACTGTTCTTCCAGCTTTAAACACACATCCCATACGCTTTTTCTCTTTTCCAAGCACCTGCCATCGTGTTTATTCGCAGGTGTTCCTCCTTTGTACTGTTATTGCCTTTAAGCAGGGGGATGGGTATACATATTTGGTTCGGCTGGCAGGTGCATGTAAGGCCAGGTTGGCTAAGGCAGCCATAACATCAAAAGAGGGCTGTTCTAGACAAACAAATATGCACAAAAAACATTTGAATAAATCATATTTAATCAGCCCTCCATATATATATGTGTATATATATATATATATTTTCTTTTTTTTTGTATCCTTGAACAGCTCTGCTTTGTTATGACTGCATTAGCTACGAGGGCTCTTTAAGTGGCACTGGATCAATTCCCCACAGAAGAAAGGACTACACTTCTAAATCCCCCACAGGTACCACCACTGTGCAACTGGGCCTCTTTGTCTTTCTCTCTCTTTTTTTTTTTTTCTTAATGTGATGTTTTCACCATAAATCATGTGCTCAATTTGAGATTTATACAGGGGGGGAAAAATGCCCTCAGGTTGCGGTCTTTTGATTAATAGGATGAGAAAAGGTCGGTCTCTTGAAGTGAAAATCAGCTGGCTTTGAAGGTGTACGCCACTGGAATGACATTAGCAGGGGCAGTGCAAAGACAACAAATGTGAAAATATTGCCAGTTTTCTTCAGAATCATATTGTATTCCATTGATTTGACAAACACACCCACCCACCTGCTCACCCCACTTACAGTGGGCTTTCTTTGCAATGACAACCAGAGCTCACAATGGGGCATTGGGAATAGGCAAGTGGCTACTTGTTCTCAAGTGGCCCAGAGTTTGAAGAGAAAAATGGGCTCCCACAAAGATAGCAAAAGCAGCACTTGTATTTTCGCTTGTGAAGGTCACACTTCATCCCACGCTGCCAAATTTCCACCCTTCTGTTCATTTTCTGTTGTACTTAGTTGTTGAATTTCATACTTGATGGCTGGAGAGACACACCAGAAACCCAACTATTTGCATACAACACATGTATTATTATTTTTTTAAACGCCGCTTATCCTGTCCAGTGTGTCGGAGAGCCGGTACCTAACCCAGCTGACTTTGGGCGAAACACTGGACTGGTCACCAGTTAGTCGCAGCAGATCGTCAACAACCATTCACTCTTACATTCCTTTCGGTCACTGAGTGAGAATTGACCCCACGCTGCCTGCACCAAAGTCAAGTGAATGTACCACTACACCATCCGGGACAGAAGAGACATTAAAAAGTCCATTTTCCATCTGTCCTCTTTAAGAATGTATTCGACTTGCTACCTCTGCGTAGATAAGAGTTGCAGTCCTCTCAATCATGCTTCCTCCTCTCTCTCGTTATGTTGCCGTCAAGCAGCACTCAGACATTTGTTTTTACACACACTTCAACTTATATTGAAAGCCCTCGTTACATGTGTCTCGTTTTTTACTATGCCAGTGTCAGCCGGGCCTTTAAAGATGTCATTTAAAAAAAGAAAGCTGCACCTTAAAAGACCTTTGATTCATCTTGGTTGTGTTTCTAAACGCAGGACCTGAAAAACAAGGATGTGAATTGAGTCCAAGCCTCGTCCTTTGATGCTTACTCTTCTTCAAGGTGTTGAAACACCCTTAGATCTGTACATCAAGGAGCCTTTCTCCATATCAAGGCCTCAGCTGGCGTAATTCCCTTTTTTGAGATGTGCAGGGGAATAAGATCTGATGTCTGCAGTCAGTTTACGATCCGGCATCAGGAGATATAGATTGATTTAATCTCCACTTGAGGGAGACGTCTTTTTAACCATTGGTTGCTATGGATTCTCCCGGAAATATGCTTATCAGTGTGGAGGAACGCTTTTGCCAACCAAAAATGTCAGAGATAGAGATTAAGTCAGGACTATAACGCAGGGGCGGCATCAAGGATCAGTTTTGCAAAAAATGTGGGATAAAAATGATATTGTAATGTATCATTGTCTGTTCAGACACTGTTCCAACACACACGTATGTGGATGATGAATATTGCTACGTATCATACCTTTGTTTGGTAAGATACTGTATTGATACACCGTTATGTGGACACAAGATCAATATTGAAGTGTATTGTCATAATACTGTTTCGATAATCTTGCATGTGGACAAAAAAAAATAGATGTCACAATGTATGGCATTGTTTCGATACTGTATCGATACACCAGCAGATAAAAGCCCGATTCTCATCGTAATGTGTCGTACTTTTTGAAAATATGCAGATATAAACAAAAATAAATTGCTATGTATCATTTTCTTTGATAAGGTACTGTATCAATACATAAGGATATGTATCAAATTGTTTTATCGGACACCGTGTCGATACACTCATTCACAGTAGATATGACTCTGTATTGTATTGTTTCTGTACTGATTGACCAGAATCGAGAGTAGACAGAAGGTTGATCGAACTACTGCATTGTTGTTTGGTACAATAATGTATTGGTTATACCAGCATCTGGCCAAAAGATAAATATCACTATGTATCAGGTTGTCTGTTATGATACGGTATTGATACACCAGCATGAAATATCAGTACTTGTGCTCTCAGCTGATTTCCAACAAAGTGAATCCATAAGTGCCCCCAACACAGCACACACACACACACACACATTTTATCCAGTTGTAAACGTAGTTGCCGTTCTCAAAATGCAATAGTTCTTTCCATTGCCAAGCCACTAACTATTCTCTGTTTTATTCTTGTAGCAAGTGAAGGACGTTATGGGCGCGGTAATATCAGTGACTGATGTACTCGCCGCCAATTGAATTTTAATAGGCCGTTCCAGCAAACATGAAAAAGCTTCACAATTTTATACAGCCACATTAAATAGGAAAATGAAAGTGTCGCCCAAACAAAATATGATGAGAATGCTATCATAAAACGCTTGCGCGCGCCGCCCGCTGCCCTCCCACTAGGGTCTGATACCACAATGCCAGACTATTTATCCTCGTTAATGATCAGCCAAGGGGAGCCAATAACACTCCACAATCTTTTTTTATGTAAATTCCAAGCCTTGTTAAGGTGTTGGGAGAGTGCGCGGACTTGCGCTTTTGGTTAATCGCTCATCCTTGCCGTGACCTCATCAATAGCAGCAGCCTCAGTCGCACAGTGGCAACAAAAGCTTCTTCTGCTGCCGCCATTGACTGAGGCGCTGATGGATGAGTCAGGAGCTGAGGAGTAACCATGATGTATGATATGCGGAACAAATGAGGAAGCCTGTATGGGAGCAGGAGGAAGTGTGCTGGCGTTTTCAATCCGTTGCTCAAAAGGATCAAGCACTGGAAAATGTAGATGCTAATTAGCATTAGCATCAAGCTAGTAGACTGAATGAGCTATGCTTGTAAGTCTTTGTGGACAAATGATCAACATCTGAGATTTATGGTGTCACTGTTTAGAACATATTAGGCCAGTGTATGAGAAAAAAAGGATTGATATCACTCTGTTTCATATTCTTGTTTAGTATACACCAGCTTGTAGACAAAAGTTTGGTATCATTATGATTCAAATTGCTGTTTATAGCTCCACTTTATGGATTGGATCAAAGATTGATGTGACTCGGCACCTCACTGTTGTTTGGTATGATACTGTAATGATGTACTCATACACAGAAATGATTGCCCTCACCATTTATCACATCTCTACAGGTGTGTGCAAGAGTCGCCTTTATGAATTTTTAATGACTCTTCCCCGGGCGTAACGAGCCAGAAAGTCCTCAAATAAATCATCGATAGGCTTAACGTTTCAGCGGCAGGAGGATCCTGAAAAAAAACCCGTTGTCGTGCAGATGACCTTCAAGACGGCCCTCTTTCTTTCAAACGTGTCCCGCCGCTTGCTCTTATCTTCCCTTGCACACATTGGCCCACACACACACACACACTCGGGTGTCCCCAAAACGTATTCACCCGCCTCGCAGGCTCCTTGTGGCCAGCCCCGCGAAAAGACTTTCATCAAGTCTGCATCCTTTTTTTTTTCATACAAATGGAGCTCTTTCACACAAACATGCTCTGAAATGGAGCTCCATTGTACAATGTGGTGGATCCTGGCATTGAGAAACCGTGCACCGGAGGGGAGCAAAAACGAGGTTCTTCGTGCGCATAATTTGCGGCGTAAACACGGCCGTCTCGTGTTGAATATGCACGCGTTAGCAATTAGCCGAGTCAATTAAGCGGAGCCAAATGAAATGGCAGCAGAGCATACAGGCATGCTAATGAATAAGCCTCAAGTAACGTATACCTGCCTTTTGAAGTCCCGTTCATCAACGTCGAAATAATGCAAGGTCAACACATGAAATGAGAAATTTTTGAGAAAATTGCCGCATCTTCTCCATTCTGTGCGGTTACTACCACCAAATGTGGTCTATTGTTGCAATTGGTTGCGCTTTCACACACGCTTGTGTCTTCCCAAGCTAACTTTTTCCTTCCTCTTTTGCTTCCTTTTCTGTTTCCAGCTTCCCGGTTTAGTCGATTCAACCACCTCTCTTACCTCAACTTGTTAAATGTTTCACGCTGTTTTCTTCTTCCTCTCTTATCTCTCCGCCCCTCCCTTTGTTGTCATCCGCCTCCTTCTTTCCTCCTTGGGACGTCTCTTGCAGTAGAGATTAAAGTGATCAAGGACCTTCCGTGGCCCCCTCCGGTGGGGCAACTCAACAGCAGCCCTCCCCTGGTGGAGGAGCTGGAGTCGCCCTCGCAGACGGCTCAACAATCTCCCGGACAAGCCGCCAGTGAGCAGCACCAACAGGGTGGGTGTTGGTGTTCCACTTGTCCAACGTCAGTCCCATTGACTCCCAGCATCCATCATTTCATCCATTCTTTTACCATGTATCCATCCATCCATCCATCCACCCTTTTGTTTCACTTACGATCAGTATGGAGAGTAATTGGAGATGATGATGACAGTTTTGGAAAGCCAGAGGGCATTAATGAGTTTTGTCTTGATGTGGTTTATTCCAGTATTATTTTTAGACCTTGAACTTGGCTATTCAGAAAAAACAAAAAAAGGTTTTGGTCACTCTGCCAGCTTATTTAGGCATCGTGACGAAGCCATGAAGCTCTCCTCAAGGCCATTGATATGAGGTATGAACCAATGAGGTTTGTTGGAATTACATTTTGAGATCTTTGCAATCCCCCCCAAAATGTTTTTGGTCTCTATGCCACCATATTAGGTTCTTTTACACAGTATATAGACATATCTAGAAAGTCTTCATCAAGGCTATGAATGTAAGGTTTGAATCCATGTGGTTTGTTGTGATGCCATTTTTCCATCTTTTCAAGCACAACGGAAAATAAACATGAGGCGATATTGACAAAATAATTGCAGAACTAGAAAGACCTCATCCAGGGTGTTGAATATGATGTACAAGTCAAAGTAAATTAGTTCAAGAATCAGTTTTGATGCCTTTATGAGGTTATTGTGACTACGCTATTAAATATCAAACCTTCAAGGCTGTCAAGCTGAGTTTTTTTTTGGCTAGGCATGGCTATCTATGTCTCCCATTAGACAATTGGTTCAAAAAAAATGTGATTACGCTTCTTGTCTAGTATTCTATGCTAATTACAGCATGTGCTATGATCGGTATGAGTGGGTTTTTCCAGGGATGATTGAAAGAGCATTTAGTAGCAATAGTAGTGCCAGGCACTTGCTTTTGTAAACACCGCACTTTTTCCATCTGGATTACACGTGGCGGAAAATCACTCACTCCTGTGCTGAGTTTTAAGTCCTGAAGGCTCATTAGTTTTAATTGTGCCCAACTGCCTCTTGTCTGCGTAATCACTCACTCTGACCCCCCATTTCCTCTTGTCAACACTCGCCGCGCTTCCAGATGGTTCCCCAAATGGCGGCCTCCTCGCTTGAGTAGCTGGAGAAAAACAAAATCACACTCATCTTAAGTTGTTTTTAGTCCATGATGTAAAAATAGTCACTGTCGTACAGACGTAGGCAGAAGTTAGCTTGTGTAATATCACAGGTTGCATGACATGTTCGCAGAGGTGTGGATAGTGGAAGTGGATGTTGCTGCATGAGTGTTTAAGACATGAAAAGTGGCTCTGGATTTTCACCCAGGCTGGCTTATAATGTCAAGGATCACTTGTTATTGTGTAAATTAGCCCTGCTGTTACATCACAGTGGAACAGAAGTTCAGAATAGCTCGCTCACAGATACATTTTCACAAATAGGCACCAAACAAAAGATTTATATGGTTGTTTGATTTCACACTTGATTGGTAGCCCGGCCCTCCAGGGACCTAACTACTTGCATACAGGTAATTAAAAAGTCAATCACTGAGGAGTTTGGCTTTGGACTTTCTGCTGTATTTCCTCTTATTGACGCTCACAAAGAAGTGACTTTCTCTAAAAGACGCACCGTGAACTGCCGTCATTACATTACATCGAGAAGTGAAGGACGTGTGGCAGAACTAATGCAAGGGAATGGGATCTCCCCCCGTGGAGATCAGCGTGTAAAAGGACACCCCTGTGCGCTGTGGGCGAGGACTTGATTTAGGTCGGCCATTCCATGGGAACGTTTTCTGCGCCCCCAATCCCCCATCAGCCGCCATGTGAGTGGCTTTGGGAGTGGAATCCAACTGTAAAGCGATACTCACCCGGTCTGAGCAAGTGCGGCAGGTTTTCGGGTGCCCTCTGTGACCGTGTGACTCCATTTGCTAAAGTGCTTGTCCTCATAAGGGTCACGGGTAGGCTGGCGCCTCACCCATCTGACTTGGGGCAAGAGACGGGTTACAGACTGGACTGGTCATTATGATAAGATTAAACATTACAGAGGGCTCCCTATAAACAGATAACTATTCATGGTCACATTCAAACTTAAGGACGATTTGGATTCTTAAATAAAACCTGACAAGCTTGTTTTTGAAATATGGAGGAAGCCTAAGAAAACCCATGCAAGCATGGCGTGAATTCAGCCTGAGCCAAGATTTGAACCCAGAACCTTTTGTGTTCGAGGCAGATGCGCGAACCACAGCTCAACATGCTGTCCCACCTCGCCTCTCCCCTCAGCAAAAAAAAATAATAAATGAAAAATCCTGCTTGCAACGTATCAGCTTGTAGACGTTCCCACACAGACGTTGTTGTTCCCACACAGACGAGCTCAGCTCTTTTGAACTTTGTTGCTCATCAAAACAGCAACACTGACATAGGCACTTCAAACCCCAACAATATTGCAAACACATTACTAAAGGCGGTCTTACGAAAAGTGTAATTACGACAGTTCACAGATGCTTTTGCATCTGTACACATCCTAAAATTTTCAGATAAATATATATTTTGAGCCCACCCGAAATCATGAATATTTCACTATCAAAATACCTTTATTACATTTTGACATACAATCTAATATTTACTTGACAGCCAGACGCGTTCTACCCTGACCTTTTTTTTTCCATTTCAATTTTTTAGAGTGCTTCCTCAAGAAGGCTGAAGCATAAAAAGGGGCGTGTGTTCCCTCCATCCGTCAGCATCCGACTGACACTTTCATTCGATTCCATCGACAATCGCTGCCCCAATACATGCATGACAGTTTGTGTGTGTGTGTGTGTGTGTGTGTGTGTGTGTGTGTGTGTGTGTGTGTGTGTGTGTGTGTGTGTGTTTCTGCAGATAACTGTGCACATTCTCATCCCTCTTAAGCTGCCTGTCGGGGCCTTTTGTTCTCCTGGCCAATCATCTCGTCAATCTGTTGGAGAAAAGAGGAATAAGATCGACTCGCTGATGTTGGAGCCTAAAATATACATTTTACGCTCGGAGGGAAGCAAATGCAATCCTTTTCAATTTTAATCCAATCTGATCCTCCATCTTTTTTGTCTTGTCTCGGTTGGACGTAGGTAGACAAGAGAAAGATGTGGTCAAGTGAGCAATACGTACACTCGTGTTGACCAATGGACTTTTTTTTTTAACTCTCAAGGTTTTATTTTAACACACTTTGACAGCATTGTTTGTAGGAACGGTGATAACAAGCATTGTGGACGTGTGTGCGTGCAAGTGATTGTCACGTTGGCATGTTTAGAATATGGCATGAAAAAGCAGACTGCAAAAGGTGAAGGAAGAAGTTGAATTTCAAACAAAACAGCCGTCAACAGGGATAAGAGGAGCAAAAACCTTTGTTGTCCCCATTGGTCAGTTGCCATGGGAACAAAATGTAGCACACTCATACCACAGTGGCAGTCGTAATGTGATATCCCGAGAAAACCAAACATGTCTTGAACGTGGACTCACCTGGAGCATCTGTTGAATGCTTTGCCTCCATCTCGTCCACAAACGCCTCACCACTAGTCTTGAGTGATTCTGAAGTCACTGTTTTCCCATCATGCATCAAGTTTCGAGACCAAGGACATTAAAAAAAACACAAGTTAGTTGGATGAATCAATTGCGTGAGTTTGCGATTGCATCAAGGGCAATGAGTTCATTCATGAGTGGAGGGGAAGGGGAGCCCCTGCTGTTTAAATTTAGAATGACACACTAGTGTGCCTTCATTGAAGCAGATGACATCGTGCACATGAACACCCACATCAGGAGTCAAAACGTATGCACAGCATGTGTTTGCATAACATTAACATACATGGCGCATAAAGTAATCACAAACACAACAGCAGGTATGGATTTACTACCAAAAAGTAATTTGCCAAGAAAGCGTGATTGATGAACAGTGACATACGTAAGGGCACTTTACTCAACCTAATGGCGATAAAAATGGATCCATCTTGGATAAAATGATTATCCTGATATTTTATGTGCACATTCTCATCCCTCTTAAGCTGCCTGTCGGGGCCTTTTGTTCTCCTGGCCAATCATCTCGTCAATCTGTTGGAGAAAAGAGGAATAAGATCGACTCGCTGATGTTGGAGCCTAAAATATACATTTTACGCTCGGAGGGAAGCAAATGCAATCCTTTTCAATTTTAATCCAATCTGATCCTCCATCTTTTTTGTCTTGTCTCGGTTGGACGTAGGTAGACAAGAGAAAGATGTGGTCAAGTGAGCAATACGTACACTCGTGTTGACCAATGGACTTTTTTTTTAACTCTCAAGGTTTTATTTTAACACACTTTGACAGCATTGTTTGTAGGAACGGTGATAACAAGCATTGTGGACGTGTGTGCGTGCAAGTGATTGTCACGTTGGCATGTTTAGAATATGGCATGAAAAAGCAGACTGCAAAAGGTGAAGGAAGAAGTTGAATTTCAAACAAAACAGCCGTCAACAGGGATAAGAGGAGCAAAAACCTTTGTTGTCCCCATTATTGGTCAGTTGCCATGGGAACAAAATGTAGCACACTCATACCACAGTGGCAGTCGTAATGTGATATCCCGAGAAAACCAAACATGTCTTGAACGTGGACTCACCTGGAGCATCTGTTGAATGCTTTGCCTCCATCTCGTCCACAAACGCCTCACCACTAGTCTTGAGTGATTCTGAAGTCACTGTTTTCCCATCATGCATCAAGTTTCGAGACCAAGGACATTAAAAAAAACACAAGTTAGTTGGATGAATCAATTGCGTGAGTTTGCGATTGCATCAAGGGCAATGAGTTCATTCATGAGTGGAGGGGAAGGGGAGCCCCTGCTGTTTAAATTTAGAATGACACACTAGTGTGCCTTCATTGAAGCAGATGACATCGTGCACATGAACACCCACATCAGGAGTCAAAACGTATGCACAGCATGTGTTTGCATAACATTAACATACATGGCGCATAAAGTAATCACAAACACAACAGCAGGTATGGATTTACTACCAAAAAGTAATTTGCCAAGAAAGCGTGATTGATGAACAGTGACATACGTAAGGGCACTTTACTCAACCTAATGGCGATAAAAATGGATCCATCTTGGATAAAATGATTATCCTGATATTTTATGAACATTTATGGAAACTGGATAGACAGTGACACTTTATTCATACATAAAGAACATTCATGATTAGATAAATGGCAAGTAAAAACATTTAGATTTCCTTCTTTTGAATTAACAGAGAATACTGCTAATAAATGCTTTTGTTGTCCAATTAAAAAAAAAGTTCATCGAAAAAGATTTAGGAAGGCAGACATTTTTTTATTCCAAAACAAACTTTTCAGTGAGATTTTGTACGGTTGCCACCAAATTTAAACCACATATACTTTCATTGACTTGGGAGCAATTTTAATTTTACCTTCGAGTTCATCATTTCAGATGCAAATGTCCACCCCGAGATTTTGTCCAACTGTTACCAAATTTGAGGACTTTGTCATTTTTGATAAACTATTTTTTTTTTTTTTTTTGCTGTTGCAAGGTTTTCGTTGTTCCCCCACCAAAAAAAAAAAAAATGTTGCTCTCCAAATGTAATGAGAATTTCCGAAATTCAGCTCCAGAAACTAATTCACATGTAATTTGGTGGACAGGTCTATCATGAGTAGACCCACAAAATCTGCCATTTAGGATCCTTTTAGCATTCCCATGGATCCTTCAAAGACTAACTCCAAGCAATGTTGTTTTACTGCTATCAAATCAAAATATGAACCATGTGCAATAGAAAGCTGGGTGACGCTACAATGCAGGTATATTTCGTTTTGATCATTGCATGTGTGCTCAGCACAGTACCAAAGCTTGATGACTCAAGACTAATAACGCAGCTTCACATAGTCGGAACTTGACCAAATGTCTTGAGATTAATTACAGCCCCACCCTTTAAGAGATTCATCACCCCCCTCCCCCACCCCCCTTTCAGCCTTCTGCCTGAAATGTGTTTAGAATTGCATGGCGGGCCGCATCAAATGTTCTCAAAGACCATATGTAGCCCACAGGCTCAACACATCTCTATGGACATTTTGTCACCCTGGCTAATAGAACACTCGAGATGACTTTCCATTGATGACAGAGAGACGCTGCCAGCCCTGTACGTCAGTTCTCTTCATCAAAAGCCACAGCCGTTGATATGTCAAAGCGTTCGGACCGCTCAACATCTGCTATGGAAGCCACTCGCGCATGCCGGCCTCACCACCGGCATGTCAGCGTGTCTCTAAAATAGGTCTCTTCCAAAGCCAAGGGTGCTGCGACATCAATTATCGTGATGGATGATGGCGGGAAAGAGACCAAAAGCCACACACATGGGAAACACACACAAGCAAAGGCTGAGCGGCCATGTGAGCCTGACGTCATTGCCCACTAAACAAGTTTGGTGACTTCTACCAGTCGGCCTTGAGCGCACAGAACCTTGTCATGATGTGTAATGTTTAACTTTTCTGTGTTTGTATGTCTGCTACTGACACGTTCACACATGTAGGAATGTAAATATGCATGTATTTATATACGATGTGTGTGTATGTAAGAATGGGTTGATGTTTTGCGCCTCCTTCCGCTGTGTGAACGTTTCCGTTGCTTGGGAGAGTTGTGCACTAATTGACGCCATTGCTGCATTCAATCCCAGCCAACATTTCACGCAGTTTCACTGCTATTTCCATCGGTTTTACGATAGTCCGGGTCATAAATTTTGGGACATTAACATAACTCATCTTTTGGGTTCTAAATAACACTACAGTGGATTTGAAATGAAACAAACAAGACACAAGTTCGACTGCAGATGATCAGATTTAATTTGAGGGTATTTACATCCAAATCAGTGTAAGAATTACAACAGTTTCTACATGTGCCTCCCACTTTTAAGGTCTCAAAAGTAACGGGACAATTGACTGCAAAATTTTTTTTTTTTTTTTTTTTGCAGTCCAGTTTGACGGCGTGGAAAAATCTAGAACGTCGCCCACCAAGGATGGGAAAACCCGTCCGCTGCAGCGGCACTCCAGCGGCTGCTTGGTAAACACCAAAATGACGTCAGCAGAGCAGCTCGGCTCGTCCGTAGGGGAACGCATCGATCCCAGCATGGCCTTGGAAAGCCAATTGTGAGTTGCTACGGGTCGAACTATGAATTTGGGTGGGTTGCGTTAAAAAAGAAACAACAAATGAAAATACGCCTGAAATAGTTTTAGCTGTATTACTCAAAAGATGGTTGGCCAAGTTCACTTCAGACTTAACCGTCAATAGTGAGTAGAGCTGAATAGAAACCACGTAATGGAAACGGGACATTTAATTTCCGGGTGTGTTTTACTTTCCTCAGCTGGTACCACGGCGCCATCAGTCGGACGGACGCAGAATGCCTGCTCCGACTGTGCAAGGAGGCGAGCTACCTGGTGCGGAACAGCGAAACCAGCAAGAATGACTACTCCCTCTCACTTAAGTAAGAATGACATTGTCCTTTTTATGGAACCGCTTACAAATTATTGAATTGGATAGGTGCTGGTGTGACGTGCCTAACAGACAATTTAGGAGGCACCATACCCCAAAAGCGGTACTGTTTGGAATTCAAACCAAAGTTCTGGAAAAAATATAGCTTAAAATTCAGCATTTGGGAAGTGGGTGAGCTCTGTAGCATATCCCGGCTGTTTTAGGGTGAGAGGCGGGGTCAACCCTGGACTTGTTGTCAATCACAGGTCACACAGACACAACAATTTAACTCACATTCAGACTATTATTCATTGAGTGGGAACTTCCTGCGCCGAAGTTAGGCGAATGAATCACTCCATTGTCATTGATGTGTACACAGAATTTACAGAAGCATTTAGTCAATGAATGACTTATCCAAGGTTGACCAACTCTGTATTTGTACATTCTGTTGGTGTAATACGAGCGCTCTAATACTTTAGTGCATGGGAAGCTCCACCTGGACCACAAAGGTATGCTGACTGCATTGTCCCGTTATGCTAATGATCTTCACCTTTCCCACCTCTTCCTCCCGCCAACATTGCCCTCATCCTTCACCTGGCCACACCGGCCTCAGAATCTACTGACAGTTCAACTATCGCCGCCGTCCATCAGTGAACCCTGACCTCCTGTGAAGGGCGGCTCTTATTGGCCGAGTTATGTCTTGACATTTTGCTGCGGCGAACTTTCCAGCCCCAGGGAGAAGTCGTATCGCATGCTTGTCGCCAGAGCAGGTTGCCACGACAACAGGAATGTTGCTAGATATTCTCTGACAGCGTGGCAAAGTGATTTATTTGCTGGATGTATGGAAATATTCTAGATTTGAAGGCAGACATATGACATTTCGGAAGGTCCTCCCGATCTTACGAGGACCTTTAGACGGGAGATGAAAGACAAACAGATGCCGATTAGCCTTTAGCTTCAACTTGCTGGAGGCAGGAGGAAAATAAGAATGGTATATCGTACATTTTCATCTTGATGCTTCTGCACCTGACCACCTTGTCATTTATTATTCTGCCATAAACAAACAAAAAAAGCATTATACATGCTTATGATACATAAAGCACTCCCTAATTAATAAAATAATTAATGTAATGCCAACTTTGAGGTACACGCAACCCCCAGCCATCGCTAGCTAACTTGACAATTTCTCTGCCATTCCAGCTGTCACTTGAAAGTGGCTTTGGATCTTCGCCCAGCCACCAAGTCAGAGGAGGTGAAACGCAGTGCGGTGGTGGTTATAATGTAAATTGATGCAGGTGCAGCATGGCTCACTCACAGACACATTTTCCAAAATCGTCCGCAAACAAAAAAATGTACTTTGTTTTCTTCACATTTGTTGGATGAGGAGGCACTCCGGAGACCCAACTGCAATTAAAAAGTACATTTTCCATAATATGTCCCCTTTTAAAGCTTTCATTTGCCAAACTGCAATCTGTTGATGCTCAAAGCAGCCAAAGTAATTTCCCAAGGGCTCCAACCAGCGACGCACTCTCAATAACAAGCACAAATTCAATATTAAGCACAAAATGATCAATAGTCGCACAACCACGATCAACGTGCTCGACCTTTTGGGTTAGTAGAAGATTGTACTAAAACAATCAGATGGCCACAATAAGAGTTTTTCGGGTCACTTCCGTGGGCCAGAAGATATGAGTTAGCCTTCTGGATCCCGCCACCGCCATTAATCCACATCACAAAAGTGTCCAGCTAGACCTCCATAACGAGCCAGCAGCCATTAAAGCAGATATGCAGCCGGTGCAGTAACTTGATTTATTTATGGCCTTGAAGCTGCGGTGGCTGCTGCTAACTGATATTAAAGGTTCGGCATAGGATAACTTTTGTGACCCCTCCACATAAAAGATGGTCGTACGGGGTGATGCGGGAAAAAATTAAAGTCACATTTCCAACAAGTTCACTTTGGTTCACACACATAAAAATGTATTTGTACAAATGAAGGTTTCACCCGTAGTGAACGCCTTGGCCGTAGTGGACACCATAACACTGATAGATGTCCCCTGGCAAGTACTTGAATATGTTTAAAGCATGTTGGAGAGGTATTTTTTTTCTCTAGTTGGTGGATTTTCACCTATTGCAGGTGTGGCTAGAATGTATCCACCATGATAAATGGGGCTTCACTGTACTGAGAGTAGTAGTCAAACGTAGAGTCATTCACTTTACCGCCTTTCCTGTCTTCGTCACTGAATCGTATTTCTCCCAGGCATGTTATATAATCTTGTTATTGTTAGAAAGTTTGGAAAATAGCTTCCCCCGAACAGTTGCAACAAGTAACTAATCATCTCCAGCCATTATATGAGGAGATAAATTAGTTCCTGTTAAATTGTTTTTCATTTTGGTACACACGTGTAGAAATGTGTACGAAGGAGGCTTCCCCTTAAGTCAACACCTTACCTCTAGATGTCCGGTACTATCTGTAATTGAGTAAATACATACCCTGGGTGACAATTTCATGAGGAAAAACATTATTGAATGGATACTGTGTTGACAGAGTCCATCAAAAGCAGTAATACAAACCAACCAATGGCCTGTATAGTGTCTTAGATTCACTCCTTGGAGTGGGGTACACCTATGCTGATTTCTCACTCACAAATATTGAACAGGTTTACAATCTATTTAGGACAGCTCCTGACTGTTCTCTGAGGTGATCAGAGAGGGGGGAAAAAAACCCTCAACACCCCAAGTCCACATCATAAGACAATCGCACACGATCATCTTTTAAAGGCATTTGACGATTGGACATTTGCCGACTTTGATCGGATAGGAGCAAAAATGCTCAAATGGTAAAATTGTTTTTCCTTAATGACTGATCTAGAATTTTAAGTCAATCTTCCGAAGGCCATAGCAATGGATGGAAAAGCACTCTTCAAAAGGGATTGCTGAATAGCCCAGAAAAAAAAAAAGAACGTGCGATACATCACAATACTTCGGCGAGACTTCTTCCCTAATGTGCTGCTGGGCGTCAGACGACATCAGTTCTCTTGCCTGCGGCGCGAGTGCGGGTCAGGCCTCAAAAGCAATCTTTGGACTGATTGGTGGTAGCGGCCTACGTCGGAGCGCCTCAGAAGCACAGGTGACGAGTTCACCCCCGCTCGACATGAGGCGAGTTCCCCAGCTGCCACTGAGATTGAGCGGAAGGCCCAAGGTGAGGATGGTCTGTGTCTCGGATTGCTGAAAGATGCATGAGGCCAAATGGTGGCACATGTGTGCGCTGCATTATTGATAAAGAGCCACAAAGCCTTCCCCAGTCAGTTTTCTGACCTTATGGGAAGTGTTTTCTGTCTGCCCTCCCAACCTCCTCGCTCTTCCCCGACGACTGCTTAGTCGCAACGAAAGCCTTTTTAGTCTTACAGAATGAAGTCTCACATTTATTGGTACAATTACTTTGAAGCACCTGAAGAACAATGAAATCGTCTGTGACGGGACAAGGTTAGGTTTGGTGTTAGGTAACTGGTGTTCATAGATCCTATGGACTAAACATTAAATATATACCTTCCCAGCAGAACTCTGTTGTTAACGTGTTTGTAAACCAAAACAGCAGCACTTACCAAAGCACAATCTTTCGGTGAGTCAAAGTGTTGGTGTTTTACGGGCTGATTCCTGATGATGTGGAAGTAGTCAAAGGGGGCCCTCGGCAATATGGTGTGAGACAGAATGGTGTCGGGGTAATTCAATTTGCGCTCATGTGAAATGAGGGATGCCCGCGGTATATTTGACGCTCAGTAAAATTTTAAAAGGTTATCGCCAAAGGCAAGGATCATTACCGTTTGACAGACTGTCTATTTTATTTTGACATCTTAGATTCTTATCACTCAGATCGTCATTTTACGGGATGTCGGCGGATGTCGAAGGCAGGGAGATAAGCCGCCATTGCCAAGGACGAGCAAGCTCAATGCGAGCCACGGCAGATATTCATCTTGCTTTGACAAAACCTGTGCTCTATTGCTCTGCTGTCCTCGTGGCTTTGTGGGACAATATGGTGTATCGACAAGCCCAAATCATCTGGGAATCTTAAAATTGTAATTGGGCGTAAGAAGTTATATTAAAGGTCAGGACAGAGGAGCAGGAGTTCAAGTTGGGGTGACAAGATAAGTGATTAGTGATTAGTGAAAAGGGTCAGGGGGTGGGAAGAAGTTAGGAACCCTTATGAATCAGGGTAGGAGTTAGCACTGTTGTCCTTGTGGCTGTCTCACAAGGACAATATTGTGCATCAACAACTCCAAACATTTGCTGGCAAATCATCGTGGAATCTAAAAAAAGAAACAACAAACCCTGAAGTGTTTTTCTGTTTTATGTGCGTCTCTATGTAAGCTAGCATACGCCTCCAAGGGATTGATGATTCATCAAAAACACTTTGTAGCGACTATTTTTAGCAAGAGGTCTCCTGGCTGGCGAGCACAGACTAACAGAAGTGGCAATACAGAAAGTACAGAAATGTTCCAATTTCAAGTCATTCACGACACTCAGGAGACTCAATAACAGAGAAGTCACAGAGGTGTGTTTACTCTGCTTGATTCGAGAAATATTACACAGTGGCCTCGTCTGTCAAGAGGTAACTACAGGAAGTCATCGACTCTTTTGACAGCATTATGTCATTCTTAGGACATCCTCAGATTGAACCTTGTGCTTTTTTTTCAACACTCTGTTGTTATTAGTCTGCTACTTTCTCTTTGTGCGTGCGAATACACCCATTGGGGTAGGGGGGCGTACACTTACAATAGCAGATAATCAAAGAAGGAATTTCACATCCCGATTTCCACATTGTCCAGATGAAGAAATACATGCGCAGTACTTAAAACTCAAAATTTCGACCAAAATTCTTTCGTGGTCTGTTGTAGAAAACACTGCCATCTTTGTTCAGACACATAGAAATGTTAGAAATACAGAGTTCGGCATTAAGGTTAAGTTATGATTTGGGGTTAGGTTTACGGTTTCGGTATTGTGATTGGGATCGGAGTTATGGGCGAGGGACTTACATTAACTATTTAACTGTGTATTTTTCCATCAACCACCTCCGATGACCAAAATATTGTGGTAGTTTTTGTTTTGCAACTTTCTGATAGCACAATTAACAACAAATATGAGTTGCTCAGTCTAATATTCAGAATACTCTGTTTATTTCCTTAACAAGATATATGGAATGTAAATAGCACGCGGTTCCCTGTGGCCTGCCTCAGAATGGTAATTTTCTATTTGCGAGCACAGGATTATTGAGAAACTGTAAAAGGTATTGATCTGAGGCTGGTGGAAGCGTGCAGGGAGCCTCTTCATTTGCTTTTACTGCTCTAGCTTAAGTGATTTATCCTGAGGGTTCATTAGCCTCATCCCCATGCCAGGCACGTGACACCCTGCACTTTAAGTACAAGTCTTTGTCGCGTCTCCCAGGTTGCGCAATACCTACAACCCTTTCTTGTGTTTTTGTGTGTCACCAGGAGCAGCCAGGGCTTCATGCACATGAAGCTGTCCAGGACCAAGGAGAACAAGTACGTCCTTGGCCAGAACAGCTGCCCCTTCGACAGCGTGCCCGACATCATCCACTTCTACTCCAGCCGCAAGCTGCCCATCAAGGGGGCCGAGCATATGTCCCTGCTGTACCCCATCGCCATCAGGACACTATAGTCCCCCACACAAACCAATACCCCCATTATGGAAAGGGAAATCTCAAAACTGCTGATTCTGACTCACCTCACTTGTTGACCGATTCCCAAGGATCCGTCTTTTATGCAGGAGTTTTATTTGTTTATTTATGACCAACACACGCTTACTTCCCTTTTTTGGGGGGTTCCCACTGAGAGGCAACACTTTTATTTGTTGCGGCTCTTCATTTGGAAAACTTGGGTTTTCTGTGAGGCTAATACAAAGGATGGGCACCTGACTCAATTGGGTTTCAGCAGAATGAACGCTCGATAATGCTACCAAAAAGGTCGCCATGGTTGAGGTCTGTGTGATTTGTGACAGTTAAGAAACCAGACTGTGGTTTCTTTTTCAGGCTGTGATCACGCACATCTCAACTTGTCATTGTCACACCCCCCGTAGGCGTTCGGGGACTTGTCACATTGACCTTCTTTAGACAGCAAACCAACTGAGACTTATTGAACAGTGCACTCCATTTTCCTAAATTGCATTAGGAATTAGCTTCTAAACTAACAAACAAACCTGTGACGTAGCCTGCTAACTAGACAAAATGGAACCGGCATCAGCGCATTCCTGAAGTTCTGAACTTCCATTTCATTGCCAGTTAGACTACTGACCAAAAAGACACTTTCTGAAGATGTCTAAATGGTGGTCTGGGTGCATGTGTGACAAAAAAAGAAACAAGACTATAGATTCCTGACTTGTGTGCATCCCCTGCTCTCGTTTCTTTATTGTCATAACTCGTATGTTTTAGCTGGCCTTCTAACTAACTGAAAAGCAAGCAAGCCAGGGAGTAAACGAGTCCCAGGATTGGATTATCAATCAAGTACTAGACTCCTGCTTCCATGCTGATGGGGTATTGAGAGGGTTAATGTTGCCAGGAAATGCCACTATTGTGAAGGTCTGCGAGGATAGATCACAATAAGGAAAGGAGACTGCGGCTTTCAGATACCAGCATAGCGCTCTGCTGTCACGTGACAGTCTCATTTTGTTATAGTCACTCCTCATATGCCTTAGCTGACATATTGTGTTCGTCTTTTTCAAACAGCAGTGAATCAACTACGTCAGGAATTAGCATGCTACCTAAGAAACAAAGCGAGTAGCCCGCAAACAGACAACCTCAAATTCTGAACTCCAGTTTCCAGAATGGGTGACAAAAGAAGAAACTAGACTATGGCCCTGCTGATGCGGCAGTCTCGTCTCTCTGACATGTTGCCCTTTTTTTAAGACGTCAAACTCGCTGATGCTGGTTCCAGCCGAGCGGTGCACTCTATTTTGTCTCTGTTACATCAGAATACGTAAAGATCCACGAATTGTTAACATGCCCATCCCTAGTTGATAGTCTATGCACGTAGATGTATTGCAAAGGGGGAACATGAAGAAGTCTGAGGGTGTCCGGCTTTTGCGTTGATCTCTCTTTCATGTCATCATCCATACTCTCCGCCATCCGTCAGCGAGGGGGAGGTGTGTTACACCAATGGCAACCTAAGTGGCAAGACATGCTGGGGAGAGAGCGTGATGGACGGGTCAACCCATCCAAAAAGCCCAAGTAGAGGAACTAACCCCCCCTTTTAACCCTGGAGCCGTCCCGCCTCCCCCCTTGCCACAACGCCTGCATTGTCTACCTCAGAAAATCAATGCCATTCAGCCGTCTGTCTGAAGATCAATAGGTACAGTGGGACGGCCCGCATCGATCCGCTCTCTGCTTCCTAATTTCCTTAAAATGGCATCATTCATTTTGGATTTAAAAGAAAAAAAATGGGGGCGGGGGGAGGACAATTCAAGCCCGGCTTTGGTGTGTTTTTGTCACTACTACAATGCTGTGTGATGTCAAACGTTTGGTTGAAGCCTTATCATGCATGGAGATCAGCTGACTGCTATCCTGCTTTTGAACGATTATTCCCTGACTGTAATTTATTGGTGGGCTAATTAGCGCCCCACTTTTTTTTGTCGTGATCGTGTTCTCCGGGGTGACTCCTGTGGTGCTCTCGTTTTGCTCTTCTTGTGTGCTCGTCACGCCTCGGCCCAATTCTTCCTGACCAATCGCAGCGCAGTTTGATGGAACCCCGATGAACATTTAAACTGCAACTATACATTTCACGTCTCCCATTACAAAGACTCAAGAACACTGGCGGTCTTGCTTTGAACCACCTTAAGAAGGCCCATCACTTCTTCCTGGATTTTGCTCAACAAGCACACTTAAGATTTTTTGCAATGTAGAATAATTAAGGAAGAGAATCGACTTGTACTCCAATTCTTAAATTATGTCTGTATTCTCCTTACAAAGCCTTTCGGCAAGTTTCTGTAAATTGACGACCAACACCTTCAGGTTTGGCGGTTGAACTGTTGTGGAGTTTTCAGGTAACCTAATTAGCATTAGCAATGCTAGTCCACAGACAAATGTGGCGCAATACCGTCATAGACCCTAGTTGTTTGACAATCAATGGTCCGATCCATTGGTCCACTGTCTTAAGTTGTCAAATCGTCCCGCTAATAATGAAAAAGGAGTTCATGTTAGCGTTGCTGTTCCACAGATGCGCATCTCTGCCATCGACCTTATTTTCCTTCTCGAACTTTGCAGTCATTTTTTGAGTTTTTCAACTGCTGACACCTTCAAGTTCCAAGTGTCCTTCTACTGTAGTAGATAGTTTTCATCTGCCCTGCTACTTTTTAACATTCTGATTTAACACCTTCATGGACAACAGGAACAGATTGACTGCCATGGACAATATTGTGCCCTCTAAAATTTCCAAATTGTTCATCTAAAAAAAACTTTTGAGTTCAAAGGCTCCACTGTTGATGTTGTATGCCCTGGCACCCTGATAATTTTGCAAAATTGAGTTAGCGTAAACATTGCTAGACAAATGAACAACGATGGCCCCAAAACACAATTAGAGCTCTTCCAATCATTGGCTTTTATTTAGTTATCAGCGAAACACTTGCATGCATTTAAACGAGTTGCTTGCTGAGCAAAAACGCAAGAAATGGTCAAGTTTAGGGGAATTAACTGGCGAGTGTTCATACTGTAGAGCTTTGGAGAGATCACTGCTAAGTGTGTGCTATGCAACTGGAAGACTCCTGATTAGTGTTTCAATGGTACCAACCGTCCCACGTGGTTGATGGAAACGACTCCCCTGCCTAAAAAGTCGAACAGGGTGCGGTCGCGGTGACGACGTCTCTGCAGCTTTACTACGACTTTAAGTGGACCTATGAGAGAAAAGATTTTGAGAAGATAAATGAATGTCGACGTCGGCTCTTAATGACTGCTGCAAACGGGTGTTATAGTACTAACAGGGAGGCCTTACTTAGCTTTGGAGGAAATAGACTGCAATCCACGGAGGACACTTCATACATCTCTATGGAAAGCATCTCTTCTGTCTGAAGTGTCTTAAATTGTGCGTGTGAGTGTGTATGTACAGCGTCCCCCTCATGGCCAAATGTATATACTGAATGTATCGTAAGCACGGGGGACGCAAAGGCATCTCAGTAAATAAATAAAAGAAGAAATAGGGTTTATTATGACTAAAGCGCGGAGTGTCGTGTGATGCTTTTCCTTTTTTTGATGATGACACCAGTTTCCATGGCTACGCTTCTCTGTAAATAGCGAGCCGCTGCTACATTGTTTGAGACAAGGACTGCGGCTATTGGTAGCCACTGCAAAGTTGCATATTGATCCATATAGAAACACGATACTATACTTCACTCAATACACGCGCGCACATAAAGTAGACTGCGTCTAAGAAATATACACAGTACAAGGGAATGTCAACAAGTTAAAAGCAAATTAGAATCTGTAATAGTAATGGCTGTCATTATCGTCAAACCAAAAAGTAACCTACTAACTAACAAAGAACACAAACTATCAGTGCTAGACTTATTTCAAAAACAAACACAGCAGAAAGTAGCCAAACTAAATGAAAAAAACAGGAAGTAAACAACTCAGGAATAAAAAAAAAAGACATCTGAACAATATAATTTGCTCAATAACAAAAACTGACCAACCAGAAAGTAGCTCCGGTTAGGTAAGAAAATACAGAAATAATCACACCAAAATGTTTCCCAATAACAGAAAACTACTAACAAAGAAATCAGAACGTATCCCACTTTCACATAAATCCGCTAGGAGTCGAGTAGCTCACTGTGAGGTACTTAAACAAAAATAATAAGTAGCCAGCTTACTAACAATGACAAACGATTAAAAAAACCTACTATAAAAACATAAACAGGTAAGTGGCCAACCGAGTGAAACAAGAAGCTGAGGCTTACTAACAAATTTAACCAGAAGTTGCTGCTGTCAAACTAGAAAGTACTGTAGCTTGCTCGCTGATACGTTGACAAGCCAGGAAGTAGCCTGCCCAATGTGTAGTTTCTCAAATTAAATCCTTAATGTTTAACACATTCACTAAGGCTGTATTGCCACTTTTGTCTTTAACAGTGTTATTCATCAAAGCAGTACGCTGAAAGCAAGCAGGTAATCCATTTCTTATTCCAAGGTTCCATAGTGACTCTCCACAGACGTGATCTCCACCTCTTCCATCAAGGCATGAAACGCGTCACAGGAGCTTTTGTGCACAAAAGAAAGAGCCAAGATGGAGGCTATAGTACAAAAAATGTGGGTTGAAAGCAGTTGAATGAAGCTTTGAGGGGAGAGAAGTGGCCTGCTGTCCACCATTTCACAGCAGACATGGTGACAGAAAGCAATCTCAGGTACCAGACGTTATGCTAATGATACCTCTTTTCACCACCCTGTCCCCTCTTCGTCGTCAAGGTGGTCTCATGTGAATGGCTATTGTTCTTCTCATCTGTTCTGCTTTGATTACAGAAACATTTACACATCATGTTGCAGCCATTGCTGCAGTCCAGATATTTTTTATGACCAGAAAACAACCAATCTCAATCAATACAATGCACTAGTGGAGCCTAAATATGGTGCTTAAGTGATTTTTGTTTAATTTTATTCCAAATAAATCAAGAAGTTCCCTGCGTGCTATACAAACCAGGAATAAGCCTATACGTAACCAGTCAACAAATTAGGACGTAGCCACTGCATAACAGACAAACCATTAAGTAGCCTTCCAAGTGCACAAACAAATGACAAATTCAATTGAGTGAAGTTGGGGCGTTGTGCTAACCACAAAAAAAAAAACAACACAGTACAGTACAATGATTTGCAAATCAGGTTCAACCGATATTTGATTGAATACACGACAAAGACAAAATATTTACTGCTCATCTAATAAACTATTATGTATTTATAACTTCGAATTTCGTGGCTGGCGAGCCAAAGTAAAAACAAATTTCAACAAGTCAGTCAAGACAGAAACAAATAGAACTATATTGCCATCTAGTGTACAAAAGTGATAACTACATTTCCGGCCACTTCATTAGGTACGTAATATCCGCACCTTCAAGCAAACCGAAGTTGAGAATGGTTGAGACGAAATGAATGTTTGCGATTCCGCTTAGTTATACAAAGAATATTTCGATCATACGACAAATGTTTTGCGTTTTTTGCATGCCTTTAATAGTGTTTCGATGGCAAGATCCTCAAAAATACATGCCAATGCATGTACTTAGTTCGTACTGTTATCGATGCTAAATAATTACATTTTCTTCAAATGTAGTTATTTTATGATAACATTTGACTAACGAAAGTCAGATTTTTATGATGTTGGTCATTTTATGGGGTTTTCTCTCACAGCATCATTGATGAATGGAATTTGTTTCAGTTGCGGTTGTTTTTAACGTGCTATATAGACATAGCTGAGTTGAGGATGCAAAAACGAGGCTTTCCAAAACATCTTTATTTCCATTTATTTCAAGCATAGTGACTAAATAACAGAATGTATTAGGACCTTATGATACGACATAGAACATGACAATAATGTGACAACAAAAAGTCCTACGGATGTTGTTCACCCAGAGGTTCAGAGCCCCGGTCCGCCGGCAAAGATGAGCTCCAGGGCAGCCTGGATATCTCCTTCGGTGGCCTGCAGAGCTCTGAGCATCAGTTCCTCATCCTGGATGCCCATATCTCTGAGCTGTTGCATCTGCGATTGCCAGCGGCCCTGCAGGTATCGCGCGCCAATTGTTTTATTCACTCATGTTTCAGTATGCTCTTTAACAGATATATTTTACCTGCAGGGCAGACATGTTGGTGGCTTGGAGGGCTTGTTGCAGCGCCTGGCTGAACAGGTCGTTGCTGACGGGGGTCCCTGCCGGCATGGGTGGGCCACTGCTCGACGACTCGGCCTATAGCCAAATCATAATAATTTCATACCATAATATAGCAATCTCGTTAAAAAAAAGAAAAGCATTCACAGAATGAGAAAAATATTGCCACGCAATAGCATACCATGGATGCTGTTGTATATGCATTCAATATTATGTCTTATGTTTTCTGTACAATAGCACTGGTGTGAATGCTGATCGCTCAGCATTCACATTCATTTTCTGATCCTCAGTATCATTAGTGTTAATGAGGGTCATTCTGCATTTAATCAGTTTTTGATGCATAATATCACTAGTATAAATGTTGGTCTCTCATCATTCACAAATTTGTGTCGATAGTCATTAAGTATTCATGTGAATATTCCCCTCTCAGCATTTACAAACTAATGCTTGGTCGCAATAATTCATGTTAATGCTCATCTCAACATTCATGCAAAATGCTTTTTGATTTACAATAATAGTTATGTAAATGCTCGTCTCAGCATTCACCTTATGTTTTGATGTTTCGTAGCGTCAATGTGAATATGTCTCAGCGTTTAAAAAAAAAAATCTATCACATAGATGTGAATGTTTGTCACTCATATCTGTGATGTTTCGTAGCATCAATGAGATTATGTCTCAGCGTTTAAAAAAAATATCTATCACATAGATGTGAATGTTTGTCACTCATATGACATGATAATTTATTTCTTAAAATAGCACATAACGTGAACGCTTAATTATCAGCATCCACACAATGAAGCTTGTCTCCTGTGTAATTGTGAGATGTTCCAGCATGGCTTGACCTGGCTGACTGTGGTCGGAGTCACTGCGCTGCTTTCCGGCGTGCTAGCGAGGGCTAGCGCTGTAGCTAGCTCACTCTGCGTGATCGGTCGAGGGCCCGTGGCACCGCTGTGGTTCAGAGAGAGCGGCCGTATGCCCACCGATGGCCCAGCTCTGCTCGAGGGGCCCGCCGGGCTGCCCTGCTACATGCACAGAAAAATAACGCTCATTCATCAGAATTAACGCTTCAAAAGAAGTCCAATGCTGAAATGCGAGCGAAAACTCACAGGCTGGAAGTCTTCATCATAGCTAGCTCACTCTGCGTGATTGGTCGAGGGCCCGTGGCACCGCTGTGGTTCAGAGAGAGCGGCCGTATGCCCACCGATGGCCCAGCTCTGCTCGAGGGGCCCGCCGGGCTGCCCTGCTACATGCACAGAAAAATAACGCTCATTCATCAGAATTAACGCTTCAAAAGAAGTCCAATGCTGAAATGCGAGCGAAAACTCACAGGCTGGAAGTCTTCATCATCATCAGACATGCCCTCAAACATGAAGCCTCCTTAAAAAAAATAAATTAAAAAAATAAAATAAAAAAGAAAGTAGTGTTGAGTTTAATCAAAAAAAGAACACAAGAGGAAAAAAAATATACCGACCTGGCATATCACTGTATGAGCTGGCTGAGGTGTTGCGGGTAGAAGAGGCAGCAGTGGACTGCGTGGGCGTGCTTCCTGCCACGGAGTGCAGCACCAGGATGATTGCGTTGACCAGGGCCGGGTGAGAGCTGATGAGCCTGTGAGGAACCAATGGAATCTTCAAGGTTTGCATACATATATCTATTAAGACAAAAACAAGTACTCACGTGTCTAACATGTTGGGGTCTGTGAACTGCACGAACAGGTCTTTGTCTTGCAGCACGCCTGGAGCGGATTCCAAATGTCAGCATTTGCATTTTTGCACCAATGAAGAAGAAGCGTCACATCTTACCGAGAGCCACCGGGTCAGATCTGAGTCCTGGTGTGGCCACGATGATCTGATCCAATGACTCTTTGTTGGTTAGCATTTTGTACACCTGGGTGGAGAAAGAAGACGCAGGATTGACTGTGCATTTTACTTATTCTTTGGCTGTTTTGTGACAGAGAAATCAGTGCACCTGTCGACTACATTTCGAGAGCTCTGTTTGGCAAGCATAGAAGGATCAACTCTGTCCTTTATGACACTTGAGCGCTCTAGTCAGTGGCAACATTTAAGATTGAGATTGTACAGTTGTACCGAATAGTCAATACATACGTGTATAAAGTATATTTAAAGTCATTCTCACTGAATCTCTGTAGGTGGAGTGTAACGAATGAAGGGCCGCGTGAAGCATTCGAAACTCCCTGGCCGCAGTGGCTCTGTTCACAGGTTCTGAAAAAAAACCCCAAAAGACATATTTAATGCTTTGGCTTCAAATGAAAAACATCTTAACATATGTTAGAGTATCACTAGACACACCTGCAATGCTTTCAGGCTCTGGCCAAGTCTTTTTCAGTACATGCAACGTGGATCCCGGTTGAATTCCGCAGGCATCGAGTGTGAAGTCGTCCTTCAGCTTACGCCCACAATGGACCAGCTCTGGACCAACATACAACACATTATTTGGAGAACAAATAGACATAGAACATGTCGGAAAAACACATCTTCCGAATTGCTTTCTTCGCTCCCAGGTAATGTTGACAACTTGAACACACCTAATTATTTTCCTGGGTGACTGAAATTTACCTTTATTGTAACTAACACTGCTCTGTGTTACAGGACGTGTGTTTACTACAGCAGACATTCCATCTGTAAAGCTGACGTTTAATGTGGAGTCTTAACCCTAATGGGAAATGAATGGCCACTTTCACTATACAGGGAAATATAGTAGTTTCTCTATGTCCTTATATGAAATGTAATTGCAACGAAATACATCCCAAACAATAAACCTCGTCCCGACGCATTCATGAAACAAATGACACCTCTCCTTGCAAGCTACCTTCTGCTTTAATCTTTGTAATACCTATAAGGTCCGGGTCGGGTATGGAGTCTGGGAGCTGAGCGGCCACAAGTTGCTTTAAGGTGGCAACTCGGTATCCTCCGGGTGCGACGTCCCCTGGCATCATCTCAGGGAAGTGGAAGGTGGATTTGGGCTGATCCAGCAGCTTCAGGGACAAGTACCAGTCTGTGGAAGCCATCTGGGGCGAAAACAATACATCGAGTGAAACTCTATATTTTAATGCAAGAAAGGCTATGCAACCTTAACAAATAAGCAATCACGGCTAGCCGATATTACGCAGATGCAGTTTCTAGTTCGCAAATATACATTTGAATCTATTTCACTGTGTTCTGACATGTTTGAATGGGTAAAGGCAAGAGTACAAATATAATAATACCCCGTGGAAAACTTGAGTATTAGCGCTCTAATTAAAGAAATGCGCACACTCACACTTTCAATGTTGACGCGAGACTCACTTCCTAGATTTGAGTCACGTGGTATGTGGTGCGTTTAAAGTCAGCGTACACGTAAGGGGACTTTCCAGGTCCTTCTACGGTGTATTTTCTTATTCAAAAGAAATATCCCACTAAGACGTTTACCTAAACGTACAATTTAAACCTGGGATGCATGTTTTATTTTATTTATTTTAATGGTATTATCATATGCACTTAATCACTTTTTCCACTGGGTTGTTCAGCCGACGCTGCGTCATGTCTTGGGGAAAAATGTGATTCCAGACAAATGAATCATGATGCGTTATTTTCATTAAGGTCAGGAGGAGTTATCCAAACTTGACAACCTAATGTTCGTTGCAGTTATTATAAATAGATACACATTTCTTCTACTTTATTATTTCTACTTTACCAGAGAGTGTGTAAAAGTCACATACTGTAGCGCTGTATTTAATGATGCTCCTTCAAAATGAGTTTGTCCATGAAGAAAATGCGAATGAGGCCTTCACGGACTACAGTTTTCTATGCAGACATCGAGCGGTGAACCCGAAGTGGGACGCGACTCGCCCCTCCTCGAGATGACATCACCACCGGGCAAAGCAACAAGGAGTGGTTTAGTGAAAGGAACCAGTTCCAAATCAATGGAACACACCCGCGCACTTTGATAAACCCCAACAGAGCCATTTTAAGACAACAAAACACCGTTATCTTGTCACATAACGGGACGAGAGGAATTCAAAAAAAAAACTCCACTGCTCCTGAAGGCAACATCGACTGTACGGGAAAGACGAGGACGTCACTTGAGCACTTTTTCTCCTCTTTGTCCGACCATGGTAAGAAACTGCTCATCTACTACTGGCACACATGTTACGATTGGAGCTTCTTATTTAACAGAACAGGCACCAAAGTCACGAACTCAGAGCTGAGGGTTTTTATACTTTCTTACTTTCTTGCAGGATTAATGCCGTTTTTAAAAATGTATTTTTGTCTTTCGTAGCGAATCTATGGTCAAGCTAATAATGAAGCGTTTGAATGCCTTAAACGCGTGGTGCCCCCGGTTGGCAAAGTGGAGTCATTACGTTCTATGGTCCGAAAAAAAAGTTTCTCTCAAAAAAAAAAAAAAAACTTGACTTAAAATGATTAGAGTAGATGTGTTTAAAGAATTTTCTATGAGGGATTTTCCTGGCTTTACGTTCTTTATCACATGCTTGTTCAGCAGGCAGGTACAACTTCCTTTGGGATGTAGAGGATGTTGTAGTCCCCATCCGGATAGCTTGAGTGGGAAGTAATTCTCGGTGAAGTCATCCTGTCGTGACTGCGTCCATCCATCCATTTTCTGTAATGCTACCATGAGCCATTTGATCATGGATGAGCGCGAGCCTATCCCATTTAATTTAAAATGGATGGCAGATGATACCCTGGACTGATCGCTAGTCAATTGCCGGGCACATTGAGACAAACAATTCACACTTGCATTCCCACATCTTTAGTCTTCAGTTAACCTCACACTTAATGTTTTTGGAATGTGGGAGGAAGCTGGAGTGAACACGCATAACTCCACACAGGACAGCCGAATAGTGGATTGCAGATTGTCATCTTGATTGTGAGTCAGAAGTGCTGACTGGTGATAGTTTAATTCATCTGATGGTAATCAGTCCGACTGCAATATAGTTGTACCATTTTTTAACAAACTAATGTTGTTCTTTCATCCACTTTTTGGGCAAATCTCAGTCGGTTGTTACTGGGGCTGAGCTGGTTGAAGATTTCCTTTTTAATTTTCGACATCCAGAGAATAGCTGGCTTTGTTTTAAAATTCTAAGAAAAAGTACAGGGTGCTTCCAGGGTCATCAACATGTCTATTTTAAACGCAATGAAAACGCAAACAAGTATGGTATACTGTATCTCTACAGTTTTTGACAATAAGGTTTTCCAAAATGTCAACATAACAGAGCACAGATGACACATTTTAGCATTTTCGTTGAAGCTATTATTTTCCAAAACTTCCTTCTGTGCTGTTGTCATAACGGGTGCCACCGATTTGATCTTTTCCTGTTACAATAATCATGTGTAAGTCAATGCCCCCCTCCCTCACCCCTCTCCCGCTGTGTGCTCCTGATCTTTTCCCACTTGAGAAAGTTATAAAAAGTTTTAACGAAGGAGAGTTCAAAGGATTTGCATTGCTGGAATGGGGGGAGCACTGAACTCAGTTCCTGGTGTCTGGATACCACCAGGCAGAGTTGGCCTGTGGTTTGGTTGGTCCAATTTGACGTTGTGCTCTCCAGGGGACAAGTCGAGGGAAATTTGGGGGATGTTTTTATTTCCTAGCTCTGTGGAGTTGGCTTGGACAGTCCAAAGAAAGTGGCGAGTTGCTTTGTTATGGAAACGTTGGTCATGATGAGGCTGCAAGACTGACCCACATCCTCTTTGCTCAAGTCAAGTAATGAGGCTGATGGAAAAATGTAAAACATCTTCGACACTGTAGTCTTACTTCATTTTAAACTTATGGGCTCAAATTGCGAACGCCCATCCACGTCACTTGACCAAACTGAGAAAACAGGTCAGCCGCGTTTGGTCGTTATCTGAGCCCTTGGGCACTGTGATGTCATTTTCACTTGACAGCAAGTGGCAAAATTGCCAGCTGCTGAGATGGATAAAAATGGGTGCATTTTGCTGCTTGATTCATGTTCCACAAATGCAATATTAACCAGAATGCCGTTTTTAGACGAGTGGTATTATTTGTCGGGAGAATTTTTGACATTACTGAAACTATCAACGAAAGAAGACTAAAAAAGAAGACAAGCAAGTAAGATCATTCTAATTGCTCTGTTTTGATCCCTGCAGCGTCACGCCTGAAGAGGTTTTCCCACCGTACGAATCCACCCCGGGATCACCATGATGTCCTTGCTGCTGCCCCTGCTCCTGTCTGCCATGTTGGCCTTCCAAGCTGTTGGTGGGTGTCAGCTGTGGTAACAATATATCCCTTGAGGATCATTAATCTTCTCTCTTCTAAGGCCTTCGCAGGGCAAAAATGAAGCACGGCACTCAAAAGTTCCTGTAGTTTTACACGAGGGGTCGTTTCTTAAGGGGTAGATTTAATGGGCCCTTTGGTAGGGGTCCAGAAAACTGTTGATACATCGGATATGTTCTGACATTATTTCAGTTGCGAGACTTTTAATGGTTCCCTGGCATATTTATGCCAGGGACAGAGTTCGGGATCTATGAAGATATACAATGTTGGTGTTTCATCAGGTGTCTGTGCTCAGCTGATTGCCGTGGGGAGTTTTGCGACGCCCTCGATGGAAACTGCTTTTAGAGCAGCTTTTCCAGTCGTTGTGAAGGGGCGGCTGGGTGATGTCGCAATGAAGGATTCATAACTTGAAAGTTTCACTTCTGTACAAGCAAAGAAGTTGGGTCATCATAAAACAAGTCACAAATAGGCACAGGCCCACTTGATAACGTCTCCAGGCACTGTAAATAAAAGAATGGAGTCGAGCATGTCAAAAATTGGGATCTACACCGTGAAAGTTTTATAACCTTCTTTTCTGCGCTGTTGGTGTAGGATGGACTATATTGTGTAAATTAAACTCTCATACCGGCCGATACAGCATGTCAAACTGTGAGCCCGACATCCTTGGGAAAGCCTGTAAAGTTCAGGAAATTCTTTGGAAAAACAAACAACATAATTTCAACCTATTTTCTGTACACAGCCAATTCCTCTGAGGACCGCACTGAACTGATGAAAAAAAATGTGACAGAGTGGGTCTTCATTTTGAATGCAAGATAGGGAGACTGTTTACATGACAACATTCAGTCATCTGTTTCAGTTCCGCCTCAGTGGACCTCAGTGCAATCACTCGTTCATAAGGCATCCCTTCACTCCTGACACAAATTGGACCACGGGCTGGCTCGTTACTGGCGGCGTGGCATCCACATGGAGGAGGAGTAGATGTGGGCGGCTCATACAATGATTCAGTTTCTCTCCGCTAAGTGGAGCACTAAGTGAATTAGTTGGCTGCTGCACATGTAACTCGATACAAAAACACTGCAGAGGGTGTCCAGATTGTGAAGTCCCCGCGCTTAATCAAAAGGTAACATTAGTAGCTCAACATGGCATCCTGTTTCCAAACAACAAGAACAAAATGGCTGAGAAATTAGACCCATCGGCGATTGTACAAAATCTGACCATTGCTCATGTTCATCTCAAGTGGTTATCATTATTATTGCATTTTGCAGTGGTATAAAAATACATTGTGTCTTATATACTTTTTTTTTTTTTGGTCATATGTTATCTCACTTTTTACTGCATTTGATTTCTTCTTTTATAAACTACATTCAAACCCGATTGTGCTTCTGTATCAGCCGTGCTATTGTGACATACAGTATGTTGTTGTCTTTCAAATGGTGTTGAGTCGTACGATTTGATAGACCGGCGCTTTCAACTTTGTTGTGTTGTTGAAGAGGGAAAGTGGCATAAAAAGCTTGGGAAAGGCCCAATATAATATACAGGTAATGGTTTTCAATTTGGTGTCTAATTGTCTCACTCTCGAGCATCCATTCTTGCATTTTCAGTCCCGCTTATCCTATTAAGGGTCGCGGTGTATCTCGAGCCTATCCCAGCTGAAACCAGACAACAGGTGGAACAGACGCTGGACTGGTTCCCGTACCAAATTCAGAGGAATGTACACCGAAGAGCAGCATCAGTGACTATCTTTGAGCAGTGTCAGCCAGTGAAAGAGTTATTGGCTGGCCATTTCACTTGTAGCTTGTAATTTTTAATCCACTGTTACATTCGCACAGCCAGAGCGAAACAGTCTTCACACCTGAGCCTACCATTTGTATTTAATACAATTTAATACAACCTAGAAATTTGACCAGATTTCACCCTAGGAGGGGAGCCTAGGGCTAATTCACATTAATTTGTGTGATTTAATAATATCCCCCGAGGTGTGAAAATATTCTGTTCCCGATTGTCCTTACAAGTGTGATAGCTCTGAATGCTGCCCCTCCCCCAATGTCGTCCTTTTCTCCAACACTGTGATTGATTTTGCAGAGAGGGTTCACTTTAGTCTGCACATAAATTCAATTTTGATTATGCTGTATCTGTGATGCTCCTGTTAATTCAATTGCGTCCGCTGAAGGATCCCATGGAGGGGTCATCTCGACGAAGACGATACGCATACGCAATCACGTACATCATCAGTCTTGTTGTCCCGAGCGCTACCTCCATCCTCCTTCCTTTCTCCCCTGCGCGTTCATTGAGACCGAGTGCATTACCCAACAAGCACCTCATGATTATTTCAACAAGTCGTCAAAATGCAGGCCTGTGGGACTGTTTAAAAATTGATTCAGGTAATATGCAGCGATTGCACTTCTGCAGGGGTTGTGCGGGACCCCGAGTCATGTGTGGTTGACTGCGCGTCTTGTGGGCTTGCGTGAATGGTTTGGGTGGATGCTGAGCCGTGCTTGGAAACCGTTATCGGCTCAGCTTCTTTGCTGAGGCGGCAGCTTGCACGGGGATAATGAGTAAAGGGGAAGTCCAGTAAGGCTTTAACCAAACACACCCTTTGCTTGTTAGTGGTTGTGGTTTGGCAACGTGGCAGCGAGGATGGAAGAGCATTACAAAGACAAAACAGTAAACCTTTGATATTCCCGGGAGACAGGGACCAAGCTCAGCGACAAATAAAGAAAAACAGCGAACTGTGATCACGCCCAAATGTTTATAATTGTCCAGATTAAACAGTTAAAAACAAAAACATACCATAAACTATGATCCCTTAACACTTCATGTTGTCAGCATTTCAAACTCATCTTACTTTTTCCCCTGAAAAATAAAGGCTTGTAATAGGCAGTAAGAAGAGGAAATTTGTCTTTTAATAAAGACGAATCACTTCAACTTAGTTCTTTGACACAGACTACTTTCTTATTAAAAAGGACTTTGGCGCCATCTTCTTGCATCCTGGGCCATTTCAGAAGAGCACAAATCAACAAAAAGAATATGTATAACAAAAAAAAAGGGAATGGGTTAATTTGTGAATACATATGGTGAGAGAAAAATATTCTTCTTTTCAGTATGGTGCAGTGCCCTAAACAAGCTGTTAAATTGTAAGAGAAAGATGGACAACATCCTGTGAAGGGAAATCAAGGAAGCCTTTATCGCCCTGCTGTTTCTCTTCTTCAACCTTGAAGTTTTCTGTCCTCAAGTGAGATCTGATCCCGTGACCTCGTGTCTACCTTGTCAGCCAGCCGCATTCCTTTTCTTTCTTTTTTTCCCCCCCATTTGTGAAACCACAGCTAATCAAAAGGCTCTCGGTGTCTACGGATTTGTAAGCCAGAGGCTCACTCTTATCTGACTGCCCGGGCCCATTAGAGGGTTATTGACAGGATATGAGATGTCTCGCATCAAGAATGAAGGCAAGAGAGGAAAGAAAGAAAGACAGAGAAAGAAGGGGGGATGGAGAGAGAAAGCAAGATTGAAGGAAAAAAAAAAACGGCACAAAAGAACATCGCATCTTGATTTATGACTCTGCGGGAAATAAGCAAGTCTGAGTCCTTATCCAGCCGATCACCTGGATGTCTCCCTGGCGAGGCCACTCCTTTGTGATTTCCTGTGGAAAGAAACATAAGAAAGGAGGAGATTCTATTCAGAGCTTGATGTTGAAAGTGACCCCTTTTTTGCGCAAAGGCTGCGTGTGAAGATGTGGAGTTCACACAGTCGACAGGTCGGTCTAAAACGCCCAGAATGAAAATGTGCGTGTAACAATACAAGTTGACAGAAGGGGGCAGTATTGTACAAGCATAGCACTCTTCTCAGTCTGAGGCCGAGATTTTTTCATGGTGAGTTGCGTCACATTTACATAAAACAAACCAAACATGTATTTTATTAAAACATGCGTGCGACCATTTTAAAGATGAATACATACAATAACATGAAAAAGTGCATTGAAGAGCATGATGTAATCAAACTCAGGAGTAAACGGTACAAATTTGAAGAGGTTCATGGCTAAGATGCCCGTTTACTAGTCTCTTCCTGACCCACCTGGGACGGGTTTGTGATGCACCATTTAACAATAGTTTGTTTAAAACCTTAAATTGTTTCCCATTTAGCTTGCTCTGTAAATGGAGTCACCTTTTCATCTGCCCTGTACTGATCATTCACAAACTCGTAGTAAAACTGTGCCATTGACTTTTGTGAGAATTATCCTTTCAATGTGTGTGCACACTGTGATTAGAAGATGGCTCCAATCATTGTATAAATATCTGTCCAGTTATTGAAAGGTAGTTATTACTTTGACAAAAGGATGGCTGAGACGCTAATTGTGTGGCAGAAAATATAAAAGGTCAGGTGTCTTGCAGCGGTGGCCCAAAGAAAATGAATCGATGAATGGAAATAATCTCTGGAACAAAATGAAAATATAGGCCTAAATATTGTGCTGCGATGAAGTTTAGAAACTTACATTATACTATTTTGCAGCTGTTGTGAAAATGCCACGTAAATAAAGATGGATTTTCGCAGTGGTCAACTTTGTAAGGTTACATTGTACTATTAAATTCTATTTACTTCCGGCGGTGTGTGACTTAACATGCACTGCCCGGTGCTGAGAACATTTGTTATTTGCCGTGTGCGTATGTTTGTCAACGTGACCGATGTCAGTCACGCTGACAGGAAGCTCTTTGCTCCACTGCAGCTCTCTTACAGCTTCTCCATTGTAGTGTCAAGAGTTACTTGTGTCCAACTCCTCACACTGTGTTGCTACGGACCTGTCAGTAGTCAAGCAGGTGTGGAATATCAATGTGGTCTCTGGCCTTTGGGGCCATGGAGGAAACCACGTTTTGGGTGTGTGTGTGCGGTGAGTCTTGGCGCGAGATTGATTGTATTGATACAGACGCTATTGATACATGACAATTATGCATTTTCAAAACATAATATGATTTAAATTAATTAGACGAACA